TGACATTACTAGGTTTTAAAACATGACATTTTTTCCTAAACATGGAAGATTACTCTTATTCAGAGAATAAAAAATATGATACTCCTATTTTGGAATTTCAAAACGTTTTTGCTCCTATTTAGAACAATTTCTATTGAATAATTTAACTAATATCTTTTGTAACCTAGAACACGCGCTAGAATTACAATTGCATGTAGAATAAGTTAAGAGGTATCTAATTTATTCTAGGACACCTTCACACACTTAATCGCTCGCTAAGAGATTAGTAGCGATTAAGGGGTCGTAAGCTCGCTCGTTTTGGCAATAATTTAGGATCCCATTGCATGAGAGATCAGTCTGGTTGTTAAGATATGAGGTTCCATCCTAAAAGGTCAACCTGATAGGAGGAGTAGCTCATGTCTTAATATAGCACTTTATTCCTTCACAAGTTTCCGGTGTGGGAATTTAACACCCCTCCTCACGACCAGACACATCGTCTGGATCGTGCCGTCATTCATTTTTTCGTCAATTCGTCATTGTCATTTTTTTTATAATCGTGTCGTTATATTTTCATAAGGGGCCCACACCATGGATCGATTAGGTTTTGATACCATGTTAAGATATGAGGTTCCATCTTAAAAGGTCAACCTGATAGGAGGAGTAGCTCATGTCTTAATATAGCACTTTGTTGATTCAAACTTTTCCGGTGTGGGATTCTAACACTGGTCCTCTAAATTATTGTACTCTACGCCGCGAGAGCGGTAAAACTTAGTATTGATTAGCTAGACTCAATTAAATTAATTTCATGTAATTAAGTCTGATCTGCCAGAAATCTGATTACCCCTGAATCAATCCTTGTTCCCTTCGTCGTTAATCAAGAAGAACTCAATCAATTATTTTTATTCGCTCATTCGCATTAATTTATTTTCCAAACAAACCAATCTCGCACAATTGAATTTTATTTAATTTTATTTCTTTTTAATCACTGAATTTAGTTAATCTTTAATTTTCTTTTGTCCGTCCCTGTGGAGACATGTACTTATTTTTGTCCATATTTGAGTATGGCACTATGGCGTATCAAGCCTCTCCTAATTCGTACCAAAAGAGAGCTTTAATTATTCTTCCCACCGCATAAACAAGAAATGAAGTTAAAGATGCTTTCTAGACGGAATGACAGTCAACGTATAATTTGCATTATTATTCTATCCTTTGAGAATGTAGAGATTGTGCAACGTATGCACTGACGTTGACGAGGCAAAGCTCAGAGAATGGCTCTACTATAAGAAGCCTCCCTAACCATGCAATACGGACTCACAGTTTGGCCGCAGTAATTAAGATCAAAGTCTCAAATTTTACTCATTAAAATCATGGCCTCTAACCAGCAGCAGCAGAAGGAGCTTCATGTAGCTATGTTTCCATGGCTTGCTTTTGGGCACATTACGCCATTCCTGGAGCTCTCCAAGTCCATAGCAGCAAAGGGTCACAGAATCTCCTTCATTTCCACTCCTCGAAACATAGACCGCCTTCCTCACCTCCCACCCGACCTGGAATCCTCCATAGCCATGGTCAAGATCCCGCTTCCTCGCGTTGCAGGACTGACATCGGAGAACGCGGAGGCCACCATGGACATTAAGCAGGAGGAGATGCCTTACCTCAAAGAAGCCATGGATGGCATGGAAACAGAGGTGACTCGTTTCTTGGAGAGAGCCTCCCCTGATTGGATCATCTTTGATCTCGTCCATGATTGGCTCCCACCTGTTGCGGCCAAGCTTGGGATTTCTCGGTGTTTCTTCATCACCACTAGCCCCTGCTTCACAGCTTTCTTCTCTGACGAATTCAGGATGAGTTTGTCCTCACCGTTAGAGATTGAAGACTTCTTACTCTTAGCCCGCCCAAAGTGCATTACCTTTGAGACAAAGGCTAGATTCCGGCGGTACGTACTATACGCACTTAACAGTTAGGATAGAAGTTATGATAAAAGTCATTTGTATGCTAATTAACAATTATGTACAGGTACGAGGCAAAGCGGATTCTCAGCTCGCAACAGAAAGTGTCCACTAAAACAGATATGGACCGGCTTATTGCAGTGAAGACAGGTTCAGACCTACTAATCTCCAGACACTGCAACGACTTTGAACCTAAGTGGGTTAATATGCTGGAGACTAGTCATGGCCGTCCATTACTTCCCACAGGGTTACTGCCGCCAACGGTTCATGTTAGTGATGATATTGAAAGAAACGAAGCTTGGGTTTCCATTAAACAGTGGCTAGATGGACACAAAAAATGCTCTGTGGTCTATGTGGCACTCGGGAGCGAGGTGGTTACCGGACCCGGTCAAATATGTGAGTTGGCCCACGGGTTGGAAGAGAGTGGGGTTCCTTTCTTTTGGACTTTGAGGACTCCACGAGGGAACCACTCATCATTGGGCTTGCCAGATGGGTTCGAAGAGAGGGTCAAAGGACGAGGAGTAGTGTGGAAGACTTGGGCCCCTCAGAAGAGCATATTAAGTCATGATTCAATCGGCGGGTTTTTGACTCATTGTGGTTGGAGTTCTATCATTGAGGGAATCACATTTGGTCACCCACTAGTCATGCTTCCCTTCTTGTATGACCAAGGAATTACTGCTCGTGTTATGGAGGACAACCAAGTCGGCATTGAAGTCCCGAGAGATGAAGAAGACGGGGCATTCACGAGTGACTCAGTGGCTGACTCTGTAAGGTTCGTGATGCTGGATAGCGAGAAAGGGACGAAAGTCCGAGAGAACGCTCGGAGGATGAGTTTGATCTTTGGAGATAAGAAGTTAAATGACAAATGCATTGAAGATCTAATTAACTTTTTGAAAAATCATAGGAACAAAATAAAAAAATCTATTTGAATCCTTGTTTTGGTATGCATTTGAATCCTATTTTGAATTGGTAAGAATAAGAATACAAATAATGTAATGTTGTTGGGTTTGGCAATGTTTGGCTTATTCTGTTTGATGTATGCGCTTCTCATAAATATTGTAATAAATTTTTAGTTTTCTTGAATAATTATATAACGTGTCTTAGAGATCTGTTTGGTATATGTATGACTTCATTATTCACTGACATAATAGAAAATATCTGTACAACTGACATCATAGAAAAAAAGTTGGAAGGAATGAAAATGTGGCAGGAAAATAAAAGACTAAAACTTGATGCATACGGAGTATATTTTAGATATTTGTTGATACTCATCTTACTTATATATACCTATTATACAAGAATAAGAAAGCTTCTAAATATGTGTACATTTTTTTTTCAAAAGCATCTTTTATATTTCTAGGGTTTTTTGAGGTAATGCCAAACATAACTTTCTTTGGCATTTTTTCCTTTCTCCCGATAGCTTATTTGAGAGAATTAAAAAGAGGAGGGATGGAGCTTACGGTGAGTGAACTTGAGGAATTTGAGGATTAGCCATTGGCCTAAACTGGTTTCCAGTTTGAGGATGGGTGGATTGCATTTCAATTAACTTTGCATTTCTCACATTCAATGCATTATTATTAGGGAAAAGGGGCAAAAACACCTTTAGAGTTGTCAGCAAAGGACATCTACACCCTTAAACTTTTCTTTTGTGTAAAAATCTTTAAAAATCATGAAAGGAGGGCAAGCACCCCTTTTTTTTGCACCCCTTTATTTAACGGTGAACTCATTCAAAAGATTTGCAACCGTTAATGTTTCCCTTTGAATTTTTAATTTTATTTATTAAACTAATTTATTAAATTATTTAAAATATATAAAATATAGATAAAACAATTAAAAATAAAAGTAAATCATAAAAAGATACTAAGTAATGAAATAACGATTATACAAAAAAGTACTCTCTTTGCGCGGCTAAAGTTATCTCATTTTTCCTTTTCGGTCCGCCCTATTAAGATTGTCCCATTCCAAATTTTGTACAATTTTGTGTAGTTCTAAATGATTCTTGTTTTGCTTTATTCTTACTTTATCAAACTATTTTTTCTTATATTTTGATACATCAGAAAGGCACGGATGTAGTAATATAAAGAAAAAGTTAGATGAAAAGGCTAAAATAGTTGGCTTTAAAAAAATTTGAGTCAATTTTATCAGAAAAGAAACTTCATGCTCACTTAATTTGATTATTATACAATTCAGCTAAAATATACTAAAATAGCTGATTTGAAATAGTTTGACAAAAAAATGACTAATAAGTTGGAACCATATATTACCACACAAGCTTTGTGTGGTAAATAAGATACAAATTATGCAACACAAAATATAGTCTATTCATATTTCTAAATATTTATATCAAATATAAGAAAAATTAACATGTACATTACTAAAAGAGTTTTCCCGGATAAGAATATGACTAGTCATGCATGTTTTAGATAAAAATATGACCAGTCAGTGTGTACGAGTAACTGAACAATAGTCACTATAGTGTATTTCAGAGTGACAAGTCATGGTAGATGACGAGTCACTATGAACTAGTCACTCAATATGTCACTTTTTTGGAAAATTTACAAAAGTCATATTTTTGTAATTTCAATTTAATTTAGTAATATTCATGGAAAAAGGCCAAAACAGTAATTTTGTAATTTGAATTTAATTTAGTAATATTCATGTAAAATTTAAAATATATTTTAATTATAACATATACATAAATCAACAGAATCAACCAATACAACCACTTCAGTCAGATTTCATAAATTTCAGCCAAGTCAACCGATTTCAGTGTTACCAAATGGACTCTAAGTAATAATTTTGGCCACCATATTGTAAAAAGTAATATTAATGGAATTGTTTCATAACTTTTTTGCATAATCATTATTTCATTACATTATGCTTTTTATTGTGTACTTGTGGAAGTCTCACATTGTGAAATAATAAGGTGATACTTCCTCCGTTTGGATTTAAATGCAACATAGCAAAACGCACAGATAAACGAAGCAAAAGTAAATTTCTTCCCATGCTACCCTTAGCTTGAATAACGGAGTACATAAAAAGTGATGCACTATTTAATAGCCAGCACTGTATGTCAGGCTACTCTAGCTACCTACGATTTTTTAATTTCCTTCCTGATAAACTTAACATGCCTCTTCTCTTTGAACTCATCTAATGCGTGAGAACTTGACGATGGCTGATAGTAGAGGAGATTCCAACTTGATCAACAATTTTCAGCCGTACGTAATCCCTTTTATGTAAAATTGGTAATTTCTCTTTAATTTCGATGTGCGAGAAGTATCCAGAACAATGAATTTGTGTTGCCTCCATTCGGATTTTGAGGGGAAATCACCGGTGACATAAGGAGAAGACTTACGAGTATCTGGGTTGTAGCTCGAGAGTAGTAAGTGGGGGAAAATCAATATCGCTGTTGTCCACATCTTCCATCTCGAGAAAATTAATTGAGAAATTGGAGAAATAAATCAAAGATGAAGTAGGTCGGGAAAGCAATCGGAGAGATGCTAGAAGAAATCGACGATGGAATGATGTGGAAGATATGAGAAGGCTGAATGAATCAAGTCCAAAAAAATCCCTCAAAGAAGAACAGCAGCGGGGGCGATGCTGAAAAACGAGAGGTCAAATTTTTTTTGCAGCCTACGTTCCCCTTTCAGCATCCGCAGTATTGAAGCATCATAATTATTATTAATCTTATCATGTATACTTAGACTAATAGCTAAATGTTATATGTGTTTATCTCCCTAATTATAGCTAGGTATACTTATCTCAACGACCCATACATGTATATGGTATTTAGAGTCAGCCTCATACGAGCATCATTTTTTTCTTAATGGCCGTTACCGTCGCCACCCTGGTGATCCAACTCACCGCCACCACTAATTTCCTAATCAAACTCACATCCTCAAATTTTCCTGCCTGGAAATGCCAAGTTCACGCCGCTCTTGTCGGCCTCGGGCTTGAAGGCTATGTTGATGGCACTATTCGTGCTCCTGATCAATTTTTGGACGATGCCAAATCTCAACTAAACCCCTGCTACACCATTTGGTATCGTCAGGACACAGTCATTCTAAGTGCGTTGCTTGGAAGCTGCTCCGACACAATCCAACCTCTGCTTCAATCGGCCTCTAGTGCTTATCATGCATGGGAAAAATTAGCTGTCACATATGCTAGTACTTCTCGCGGACGCATCATTTCTCTCAAAACCACCATGGCCAAGACCACTAAGGGTAACCGATCCATACTTGAATATTTGGCCGAAATGACGGCAATTGCGGATGCCCTAGCACTCGCCCAAAATCCTATTTCTGAGGAAGATCTTGTAATCAACGTTCTCAAGGGACTTGGACCGGAATATGGTGAATTACGGTCTGCTATTCGGATTCGTCAAACTGCACTAACCATGGCCGAACTTCAATCCATTTTACTTGAAAAAGAACAAGACATAGCAGAGGCAGCAGAGGCAAATTCATCTCTTATTCCCACTGCAAATGCAACCCAAATGGCTGAACGTACGTTGTCCTCTCATTTTCATAATGAGCGCCATGCATCAGGGGTCAATCGCCGTAGTGGGCCAACACGCAGGGGCAGAGGTGGACCACCCCACTACTCCACGCGAGCGTCATCATCTGGTCAAACTGTTTGCCGGTTTTGTGACAATCTTGGTCACACCGTGCAACAATGCCGAAAGCTCCAGCGGTTTCTTAGAGATAATCACATATCATACGCTCCGACTAATACTAATCCGACGGTCAATCATGTGGCTACTCAGTCAATCCAACCTGACCAATCATGGATGTTTGACAGTGGGGCATCCCACCATGTCTCTAATGATATTGCCCGTCTCCCTCAGTTTACAGAATATGGCGGTCCAGATGAAGTTTGCCTAGGTGATGGTAAGACACTTAAAATCACTCATACTGGTTCATTTACCCTCACTACACCCACCCGTACCCTCTCCCTCTCTCAAATTCTATGTGTGCATGATTTAAATAAAAATCTTATTTCCGTTGCAAAATTATGCAAAACTAATAATGTTTCCGTTGAATTTTTCTCTACTCATTTTCTTGTCAAGGATCGGGTCACGGGGGCGCCACTTCTGCGCGGGGAGAACACTAATGATGTTTATTATGCACCAATATCTCAAGGACCACAAGTCAATCTTACTCAGCGTCTAGCTCCGTCTCAATGTCATCACATTCTGGGTCATCCATCACGTCGACACGTCGTGTTTTTGATTATATCGTTAGTCATAATAAAAGTTTAATTTCTTGTACCTCTTCCAGTTCATTTCATTGTATGTCTTGCTCCATTAATAAAAGTACCAAATTACCGTTTTCTACCAACTCTATGAGTGCAAATCGTCCTTTGGAACTTATATATAGTGATGTTTGGAGTACGTCTGAAAAGTCCGTTGATGGTTTCAACTATTATGAAAATCGTACTTTATACGCAGCACTCACTATAGACTTACAGATAATTCTTCAAGTATGGAAATTGTCCGTCAAGCTGATTACAAACAATTCCAAGTCGAATAAGATTTTGTGGTAGCTATCTCCTTGATCAACGCACGACAAATCGATTTCATCTACATCTACGTCTTCCCTTTTGACGGTAATTAAAAAAAAGAAATGGGAGAAAGAACAAAGATGACGATGATAAGAAAAGAAATAGAGAAAAATGGTTAGTACGTGATGCAAGTCAATAATGGTAGGAGATGAAAGTAGATATTGGTGTGGTGGGCTGATGAAGAGATACAAATATGGAAGATGAAATAGGTGGGCGGTGGTAGGTGGAGAAAGTAAGAGTCAGATCTAAGATATGTGGAGACGGAGAGTGTAAAAAATAAGGGTATAAAAGTCAATTTGCTTAGCATTTCTTTCCCAAAATAGAAATGTTGCATTTAATTTGAAAATGCCGAAAAAAGAAAGTGTTGAACTTATTAAAGAACGGATGAAGTATATTAAGATCTGAACTACTTCTCCTATCAGGTTCATCTTCTATGATAGAACCTTATATCTTAATAGTACAATTAGTTAATAAATACAATTAAAATTAGTATATGTAATTTCTTTATTTGTATCGTATATATTTCAGCTGAGTTACAAAATTAGTTAATAAATACAATTAAAATATATTCCGTTTCATATTCAAAGCAACCATGTTCCGTTGAAAACAAGGGGTGATTGCCCTCTTTTAATAGATTTTAAAGATTTTTGCACAAAAGAGGAGTTTAAGGGCATAGATGCCCTTTGGTGACTACTTTAGGGGTGGTTTTGCCTCTTTTCCCTTATTATTATTCATCGGAAAATCACTTGGATTTTCAAGCTTAACTTCAACGAGTGGTCGGTCCTTGTCGATATTAACATTTGCGTTCATACCCATATTAACAGAGCGAGAGGTTGGTTGCTGCCGCCGACACATTCTTTCCAAGTGCTGCTGGGGTTGCTGTAATGTCGGGTTTTGAGGATTATTATGAGGGAGATTCTATGGTACCCATAAGGTACCATACATTCGTCCACATGTACCAATCAGAATGTTGCAGTTGAATTATTTATATCTAAATTAAAAATGATATAATCATTTGGACCAATCAAGTGAATAGTATGTACGATAACCCATTTTTTAAATGGGTACCGGAGTTGTCACCTTATTATTAATCATATGCATTTGTGCCGGGATCTGCATAGTGAGTAAAATATTTATCATAGAATTATGATAACAATGAAGTTTGAGTAGCAACAGAAAAAAGAGCAGAACAAATTGTACTCTATCATCTATGGTGACATGGAAGGCAATGGGAATATAAACCAAACAAAAGGCTTTAAAAGTAGCTCTTTAACTATGCTGGTACCATTGGTCACTGTATTTCTACAAAAGTATAAGAAAATTCCACCTTCAGAGGAAATAAATACCCGATTCAACCCCTCAAGTATATAACTGTTACTCAATTTAGTCTTTAACTTTTTATTAGACTACATTTGATTAGGGCTGAGCAAAACCCGAACCGACCCGCAAAACCCAAAGTTGTTTGCGGATAATATCCGATTGGATACAGATATCCGACCCGAAAATCTGAAACCGAAAAATCCGATTAGTATTGGGTCTAGACCGGGTGGCGGGTAGGGTTTGTAAAATCCCAACCCGACACGCCCGAAATATCCGAAATAAATTAAATTATGTAGTGTGTACTTTGAATATGTTAAATTAATACTTGTGTTCAATTATTTGTGTAATTATTTGTGCAATTTGTGCTAAATTATTTGTGTAATTTGAATGTGTATTGCACTAGTGTGTACAATTATTCTCAAAGTGGTATTCCAGCACTTTTATTATCCAATTATAACGTGTTTTAATATAACCGAAATATCTGAAATATATTAAATTATGTAGTGTGTACTTTAAATATGTTAAATTAATACTTGTGTTCAATTATTTGTGTAATTTGTGTTAAATTATTTGTGTAATTTGAATGTGTAGTGCACTAGCTCCTGGTTCACGACTTTCTTCTCTGACGAATTCATGATGAGTATGTCCTCACCGCCAAAGATAGAAGACTTCTTAGCCCGCCCAAAGAGCATTACCTTTGAGACAAAGGCTCGATTTCGCCGGTACACTATACGACTCAACGGTTATATATTCACAATTAAACTAGCTACAGAGGATCGAAGTATATACTCCGTTGGATTCTAATTTAAAGTCTTTTGTATGCTAATTAACAATTTTATATAGGTACGAGGCAAAATGGATTCTCACCTCACCACCAAAAGTGTCTGGTAAAACAGATATGGACAAGCTTATTGCTGTGAAGACAGGTTCAGACCTACTCAACCCCCCGACACAACAACGACTTCGAACCAACGTGGGTTAAGGTACTGGAGAAGACTAACCGTGGCCGGCCAGTACTTCCGACAGGGTTAATGCCGCCAACGGTTCATCTTACTGATGATCTTGACAAAAACGAAGCGTGGTTGTCAATTAAACAGTGGCTAGATGAACACGAAAAATGCTCTGTGGTCTACGTGGCACTCGGGAGCGAGATGGTTCTCAATCCCGGTCAAATCTCTGAGTTGGCTCATGGGTTGGAACAGAGCGGGGTTCCATTCTTTTTGACTCTACGGACTCCGCGAGGGAACCACTCATCGTTGGGCTTGCCGGATGGATTCGAAGAGAGGGTCGAAGGACGTGGAGTAGTGTGGAAGACATGAGCACCTCAAAAGGGCATACTGAGTCACGCCTCTATCGGTGGGGTTTTGACTCATTGTGGTTGGAGTTCTATCTTCAAGGGAATTACCTTTGGTCACCATCTAGTCATGCTTCTCTTCTTGTTTGACCAAGGGATTACTGCTCGTGTCATGGAGGACAACGAGGCCGACATTGAAGTTCCAAGAGATGAAGAAGACGGGGTGTTCGCAAGTAACTCAGTAGCTGACTCAGTAAGGTTCGTGATGCTTGAGAATGAGGAGGGGAAGAAACTTCGAGAGATCAGTTTGATGTTTGGAGATACAAAGTCAAATGACAAATGCATTGAAGATCTAATTGACTTTATGGCAAAACATACTCAGAAAAAAAATACAAATCATGTAATGTTCTTGGATCTGGTAATGATGTGTGTATTAATTATTACAATAATTATTAGTGGTCATATATATTAAGTAACCTGTGAACATGCATTGTTACTCTAATGATTGCCTTCATATACATTGAAAATAAAGTAACTTGCAATATTATTAATGATTGCCTCAGTATATATTCATTATTATAACAATTATAATATATACACATTTACTTTGCTCAAGATTTTCTTGCGTGATTTTCGTACGCAATTTATATATACTATTATATGGTAATATATTAACACTAAAAATGCCTTTAAACTCTTTCTTTACTATGAAATACATATTGCCCAAATTGCCTTCATATATACATTTATTATGCTAAAAAGGTGATGATTGTGACCTATGCATTTAATATTTTTATTACATATGTTAATATATTAACAATGTCTTTAAGGAAATTCTTCTACTATGCAGTATGCATATACGATAACCAAAACAAAGAGTGTTTTCCCAAAATAATGCTAAATAAAAAAAATATGAAATTGTTATTGAGTTAAAAGTATTTCCGAAAAATACTGATGGGCCAAACTGGGATTAAGAAAAACGCTTAGGCAAAAGATAAAACGTAACGTCACTAGCAGCAGGAGAAAGGCAGATTTGGTCCCACAAAAAAACTATTACTCCCGCTGCCACGGAAAGATTCGCCAAATTGACTTTTCTCATTCAATGGTAGCCAACTTTGACCATGAGATTTTTTAACACGAAATTATTTTGAATATGAAAATTATATATAAATGTTCCTTATTAAAAATATTTTCATAAATTTATAAAATTTATAAATTATATACAAATATAATAATTAAAATAATTGTCCAAATTTGCCATCTTGGACTAAGAAGAGTCAATTTGACAAACCTTTCCGGACGAAGAGAGTATTTTTTTTAAAGTGCTATAACTTTTTTTTATTTGTACTCCGATTGTTATAAAAATCTATCAAAAGTCATAACTTTTTATTATCTTTCATATGACATACGCCAATACTGCATATACAAAAAATTAGTACTTTGGCAATATAAATTATTTATGCAGTATTGCCAAACTATAATTTCATTTTTATATATGCAATATTAGTTTCATATGGAAAATGATAGAAAGCTATGGAGAGAATTTCCTAAATAGGACTAAAACAAAATAAAATTGCCTAAATAGGACTACTATGTTTTTTAGGACTAAAAAAGTATTAGCATGACGAAAGTTCCCTTAATGAACAAATGAAGTTATGTTTCCCATGAGGCTCCTAGGCTTATAGGTGCTAGTTCGGCGATGACATGCGTCTAAGCACGGGGACTCATCTCACTACAAAAAACAATTGACTAGTTACGGTTTTAGCTACAGGAACACAAGGAAAAACCGTCGCTGAAAAAATTAGGAACGGTTTTGCGACGGATAATAACCGTCGGAATACGTTCGTCGGAAATTTTACTTACGGAACGTTTCGACAGTTTTTGAAACAGTTATTTCCGTTCTAATCAGCGACGGTTTTTACCGTCGCTAATCTGCACAATTATTTAAAAAATAATAGCATCTTAGAGACGGTTTTAACCGTCGCAAAATGACCGATCCCAAAAAAAAGCACCCGCAAGAGGTTATTCTAATTCTGCTTTTCAGTTCAAAACCCATTCAATGCACACCAAACACAATCTGAATTACACGTATTTCATTTTCACAAATACTTAAAGCCACACTTTCATTTAATTAAAAGCCAAATGCAACTATAATTCATAATAAAAAAACCTTCACTCATTTATAGGGCAGTTTATCTAACAAAACATATATACAATTGTTCAACATAGGAATAGAAATAAGTTTTCATGAATAACTAATTATTACAGCATTTCATTCTTGCTCTTGATTTCCATTATTGTTGCTGCCTCCACTCGCAAACAAATTCTCAATAAAATTGGCATTTTCATCTTGAGTAATGCTGGTTGGAGTTGCAGGTTGTATAGGCATGAATTGAAATGGTTGCGTTGTAGGTTGCATGGATGGTTGACTTTGCATATTAAAACCCAGAAACATCGTCGTCGGGTAATAGGGTGGAGGTTGAGAAGAAGAGGCTTGTGGGGTACCTCTAAAAGAGCTAGGGAGCATTGTTGGAACTTGTTGAGAGAAATTGAATGTATTTTGTTGAGGAGCCGATGAACCTTGTTGGGGAAAATTATAATGATTTTGGAGAGAATAAAAGGGTGTACTTTGTTGAGGAAACATGGGAGGCATTTGTTGTTGACCATCGGATGTCACGCCCCGGACCTACCCGGACACGATAACAACCCGCCGTACAATACGAATAGTCAACCGCAGTCTAACACATCCATATTATACAAGGCGTCTCGAATATCATTCACACATAAGTCATCCATAAATATACATAATAAGCAATTCAATACGCAGCGAAAAACATAGTTTGAAAACAAATGCCACACAGGGCAAACATGAGCACGCAGACTCTATAGTAAAATAGCCATGAGCAATTTTATTATTGTTCAAAACAGAATAGAGGAAGCACGAACCAAGTCTTCTCTCTGGAGCAATCACTCTAGCAATGAGCACAGGAAGCAAGCTCTAGCTTCAACCTGAAATGGTGGTGGGACGCCCCCCCCCCCCCCCCCCCCGAAAGGGGGTCAGTACTCTATAGGGTTATAAAGTACTGGTGTGGATGGCATCTAATAGTTATACAACAAGTATTTCAAACACAAGACCCTCAAATAGGGTGATAATATAATCTAGGATGTAACCCCAAGTTACCCCTTTTAAAAATGTACTTACTTTATATAAAGTCAAGTAGTCGACCCGTAGACCCAAGGTTTGTTACAAAACATCAACCCCATACCCCGTGACTACCAGTCACGACAATTCATAAGGTCCAACTCTAACACATATGTTTGCATTTCTAGAGTCCAACTCAAGTACATCACCATGCAAATCATATGACACAAGTTAATTACTTCACCGTGCATTTCTGAGTTCCACTCAGGTACATCACCATGCACATCATAGGTTGCAACCTCAAATCTCCCATGCACTTCTAGAGTCCAACTCAAGTACATCACCGTGTCATGGCATAGACTCAATTCCTCAGCAAACCTATGCCTCGAATTGAGATATCAATAATCTATTTTGGGACATCCTTAAGGACTGATCATAACATGATCTTAGCTTCATACTAAATCAGTATAATCACTTGAATCACATTCAAGTGCATCACTTACAATCAAATCCTTAGATTCAACTCTTTAACAATTACAAATAATCACTAACTAGTATTTCAATACTATTAAGATTATTCCTATAAATCAAATATTCCACTTGTAAATCTCTACATATTTAGAGATATGTAGCAGCAACTTAAGCATCCAATGTAATACATAAATATTCATTTATGTACCTACACAATTCACACATGAGTAAAAATGCCTATTTTACATAATAGTTCATCAATAGCTCATTTAACTCCATTTTTATCAATATGATTCCAAATCATTTCCAATTTCATTCATTATCAAATATATCAATATTTCATCAATAATCAATCATCATAATCCATGAAAAACATGATTTAGATATTTAGGTAATCTCATGCTTAACCTACAAGTTGTAAGCAACTAGATTTCGATCCTCACCTTAAATGAGCTTTAAACCTTTCCTTCTCAATCCAATGATCAAATATTTGGACAAGGAAGTTTGAGAACTGGTTCCTTGCTTAGAAATGATTGTTAGACAGCCTCCTCAAGGTGCAATATCAACTCCTAACCGATGATACGAAAACAACCCCTAGAATGAGTGTTTTCTGGCGAAATCGCTTCCTAACCTTTCAAGGTTTGTTCTAGGTTATCATCTAACATTTACTTCAATAAAGTAACCTTATGAAGAACATGTTATACCCTTTAAATAGTTTATAATAGTTCCACAATTCGTTCATATCATTTAGATAAAGAAAAGGAAGGTTTTGGATTCAAACTCACTTTAGAGAAGCAAATCTATTTCTGCGAGGTAGCGTTTTCTTTGGCCAATTTAGAAGCCTTCCACTACTCCGTTTGCTGCAAACCGCACCTACAAGGATTTCTTATCTTGAGATATTTCTGTAGACACCTCACACGCCCTATGATTATAGCTCAAGATACGAATCAAACAACACAAACACTCCCACTGCTCGAGTTTATACGCAGCAGTTCACTCAACCTCGATTATTGTCTGTAATGCTCTCTCTTCTTGCTCAGAAACCACTCAATAATGAAACTAGACTTCAAATTCTATCCAGGGACACCTTAATCACCTTCATTGGACGAGTACGACTCTCATTATGGAAGGAGACAAACCACATACCCATTTTGTGCGGAATTGACAAGGTGGGTCTCCCTTCTTTGTTTCTTTTGTCAAGTCCAGCCCCCCTCTCCCTCTTCTAACGTCCTTTACTTGTTTTGCAGGAGCTGGGAAGGTGTGGAACACACACTTGTGTTCCTTAATAATTTTTGGGAGTAAAATATCTACTAATACTTCCAAAGATGGAACGATGGGTCCTATTGTTTTATCTTTTGTCATAATATGTCTTTTTGTACTCATTCTAATTTATTTAGAACAAGTCAACTATTCACATCATATTATTGATCTCTAACACGAGTAGGATAATCCCAATAATTTATATGATGTATAATTATAGAAGAAAACCCTATTCCCATTACTTAGCTCAATAATGTCTAAGGTGGGACCATAGGAGTTTGTATTCTTCTCTAACCAACACATTCACTTATTTGTGAGCATTGAATTCATATTCCCGGGCTACAAGCCGTGTGGACCATTCTCGAGTGGACCTAGGATGTCCTTCTTGAATACTTACTATTTTTAGCAGGTTAGACCCAAAATAACATTTGGGCTGCCCGAAGGGTTATATATCTTTATCGAAGGGTTATATATCTTTATTTAAATAATGTTGGGCCCCTATATTCAATAAGATGGCCCAATCAAGTATTTGGAAGTCCATTACTATTATACGAGCCCAAACGGCAGTATGATCAATCATGCATTGCGTAAAACATTACTCGTTCTACAATTGTTCGGTAATAGGGAAATTCAATACACAAACTTTGAAATTTAATTTGAATTTCAAGGACGTCCGGGTGCGGTGTCACACCGGAAGTAGACTGACCATACCCATGATAGAGAAACAGATTCATCCATGGACCCTCCTTATTTGCTTGCATGGCCGCGTGCTCTCTTAACTCCTTCAATTCTTTCCTCAAGGCCTTCAACTCTTCCTTAATAGATTCATTTGCGGGGTCACTTTGTGTGGAGGCACAATGTGTGGACTTCAAAGACCCGGTACGCAATAATTCGGGGGCAAGAGAGCCCAAACCCATAATTCTTCCTCGGTTGGGTTTCACGGTTTTTATATAGAGCGCCGTTTTATCCATTTTTGCGTTGTCCCCCTGGGTTGCCAAAACAGCCTCCTTCGCAACTTTGAGCTTGCCCTAATTATAACTTATATTAATACCAAATGAACTTAATAAAATGTATATTAAGAGTATAATGTATACAATTAAGTTTTAATGCAAAATAATAATTACTGAACACGTACCGCTATCTCTTGAACTCTTGGACCACTCAATTGTCCAGTTTTCTTGCTCGTATATCCATCATGCAAGATCTCTTCCGCATCGGGGGTCTTCCCCAATTTTTCCTCCTTTTCAAGTTCAAAATACAATATACAGTTACAGGATTAAAAATAATTACAAACAATAAATACACATATTAATTGTTAGTAAAATCTTACCAGCCGTTCTGCTCTAACGACTTCTGAAAGCTTCAGTGTAAGGAGCGCTCCTACAAGCTTCAGTGTTTGCATTCAACTTATTTGTTTCACACAATTGCTTAAATTCTATTGAATCCCACTTCAAGAGCATTCCATCCCAATCTTTTGGTGCAATCCAACGCGGGCATTTATTACCACGCCGGGCAAAATGAAAACAGTTCTTCAACCACGAAAATATTTTCTTATTGAACTTTTTCCTTATGACATTTACTTCACAAGGATTATATTCAAGCAAGTCTGCCGCCGTGATGCCGTCGTCATACTTCGGCGAAGTCGCTGCCCTCCAACAATTCACTGTGAACCTCTAGCGAGAATGGCATCTTGATATGAGTAATTTTTCGTAATTTGAAAATGACATTTTTCGTATAAAAACATGACATTTTCAACTGTGAAAATGTAGAATTTTAGATAAGAAATAAAAGCATTTTCGTATTCATAATAGTTATATTTTCTTAAGAAATTATGTAATTGTCATATTAAAACTGACATCTTTATAAGTTATAATTTGAAATATAATGCTATAAAAGTGATATTTTTTAAAATAATCAATAATTATGACATTTTCATATTTTAAAGGATGCTTTTTTTTTCTAATAATCATAATTGGGGCATTCTTAGAAATTTAGTCCTCATCTTAAATATTCAAAGCGAGATTTTGATTTGATAGAAAATAAAGAAACCAAAAGCAAGTAGAAGACAAGAACAAGATGAAATTTCAAATCCAAATTTTGATTTGATAGAAAATAAAGAAACGGAAAGCAAGAAGAGGACAAGAAGATGATAAGAGGAGAAGAGGAAGAAGAAGAAGACAAAAGAAAAGGAGAAGCAGAAGAAAATTAACTGGATTGCCCGGAGAAATCGTAGAACAAAGATACGGCTACTGTCGATGACGGAGGGGAAGCTACTATCGATGAAGAGGGAGAGAGGGCGATAGATGTCTGTGATCGATGGAGCAGGGCTTTTGGGTTTAATTATATGAAGGGAAAAAATATAAGAGAAAATCCTATTTTAGGGAATAATCACTACTAAAAAAACCTCGGTATAGGCATGGATTTTGGCTCGGATAACCCCTTACAATTCTCAGACTATCGCTCTTGGCTTGGTTTTGGCTCGGAAAACAATTCCATGCCACCTGGGTCAATCCAAACGTGGTTGCACGGAATACAGGATCAGTGTCAACACTTGGCACGGACTTTAATTTGTCTAGAATTTCACGTCCCAAACTTAGCATCCAAATCCATCAAAATTTGGCACGGATATCCTTTGTCTCGGCATTTGCCTCGGATAGTAAGAACCCAACCGATTCAATTTATATCGGTTCATGGATCGGATAAATCCGTGCCAAATAGTGTATCAGGTATAAAAAAACGTATGTCGTACTTTTGTACGGTATACGTTTTTTTCTACATTTTGTATACGTTTTTTTTATTTTTGACAAAAATGAAATGTTTTGACCATACATAACAATTCACAATTCACATATTCAACACCACATACATGCACCATAATCACAATTCACAACCACAAGCATAACATAAACTGTAATAAGCATACCATTAATAAGCAGTTGAAAGAAAAAACTGTAAAACTGTAAGCAGTCTAAGCAAATGGCTAAAAAAGCCATTAGAAGTAGTTACAATAAAAAAAATTGTTCAGAGTTTGGGAGTTCAATTAACAACATTAAAAATATCATCCATGGGCACTTCATGAGAGTCGTTCAGAAGGTTAATTCCGTGAGGGGTCGGTGTTCGGAAAGCTGAGAACTCGGGCAGTGGGACACTCGAGTTGACGCTCCGCACCTGCTCCAAATATGACATGAACGTATTCGTCATGTTGGCCATCCTGGGTTTGCCAAATCTGCTGCTGCTGGGCAAATCGGGCGTCAACCTGCTCCTGAATGCGGGCATCAATCTCTTCTTGGCTCGGTCCCGTGATTCGGCTTGTGCAATCCATGTTGCCCGATACCACCTTTGCCTCAGAACCCGTCCCAAACTGCCGCCCCTTGTACTTCGGCACCGCCTTGCAAAACAACTCCGAATCATCAACTCCGAATTATATTTAGCAAGTAAAATAATAACTATTCCAAATATTATTACTCATGTATATATAATTAACGTACCCTCGTTTCAACAACTCTTGGAGGAGGATCACCAGCCTTGGGCACATACACCTTCTCAAAAACCTCAATCTTTAAAGGCTTTCTCTTCATAGATTCAGTCTGTAATCACAACAAGAATCTTATGTTAATGAATTGTTAGTACAATTGAAATAAAAAATATAAACGTTTAGGAACTTTAATTACCATATTTTGAACATGTGTGGTCACCGGAATACGACCTCCACGAGTCCACGATATTGCGAACCTCTTGCTGCCTCAGTGCTACGGTTTTGCTTTCCTGCTTCACTCTTCTTCTTAAATTCTTCAGAATCCCAATACTCCTTAAGAACAGTCCAATGCTCCTTTGAAATCCACTCTGGCTTCTCATCCTTTCGTCTAGCTCTCCCAATATTCTTGCTCAACCACGATGAGGCACGGGATGCAAACCGCTTCTTTATTCTTTTGTGGATGTAGGGATCCCATTCATATATGTTCTAAACAAAAACATAAAACAGTGTCACAAAACCTATACAAAAACATCAAACAAACTCCAATGTGATAACAAGGTTTTTAGCAACATATGAAACTATACAAAACTTGAAACAGAGTCCACCAACACTCACGCTGGGACTCATCAGCGTGCTTGTAAGAATGCCAAGGGCCATGAAAGTTTGTCGTTAGAATACTAATGATGGTGTCCAGACAGAAGGTTTGCTACATAACAATGATTAAATAATGTTGTTATTAAATAATATTTGTTTTAAAATTATGTAATCTTGATTAAGACTAAAAATTACCTTCTCATTTCCAAGAAGGTTATCCATGTTTTTGTATGACATTGGGAAGGGATGTCATCATTCACTCCGGTGGGTGGTTCACTACCAGCTCTGGAGTGGACTGATTCAAGATCAAAGTCGGTACGTATTGGGAGAGTTGTGGTTCACAATAGCTTGTCGGCGGTCTGTGGTGCTTCCACCACGACTGCGACTGCGACCACCACAGCCAGAACTAAAAGACTGAAGACTACTACCTCTACTAGACATCCTATTGAATTACATGAAAGTACAAATTTCATACAAGGCAATAATATAATTTCATACATTACAAATTTAATCCAGAATATATTTTAGTGAACACATGTATATATAATTTGTATACAGATAGAGTACAAAGAATATTATGTAAAAAAGTGTGAAGTATTTATAAAACCCATACTGTCCACACATGCATATAGACTACCGAAATAAATAACAAATAAAAACATTAGTTAGTTTAAAAAATACATAAACTACCGAAATAAATAACACATAAAAAAATATTTTCTTTTAAATAATAATATAAACTACCAAAGTAAATAACACATAAAAAACATTTTGCTTTGAATAAGATAGAAATTACCGAACTAAATACAAAAAAATTGTTTTAAATAAAATATAAACTACCGAACTAAATAAGAACTAAAAAACTTTTTGTGGTAAAAAAAAAATTAAACTACCGAAATAAATAACACATAAAAAAATGACACATGACCTGGAATTAACGGGTACACGTGTGGTGGAGGAGGGTGCTGTAGAAGAACTATCGTCTCTGTCGTTTAACTTTGCACGGAGGAGGGTATATGTGTGGCGGAGGATAGTGTGGCGTCTGGCGGAGGAGTGTGTGCAGTGTGGCGGAGGAGGGTGTAGTGTGGCAGAGGAGGGTGTAGTGTGGCGGTGGAGGGTGTAGTGCGGCGGAGGTGGGTGTAGTGCGGCGGAGGTGAATTAGGGTGTTAGGGGTGAAGTGTGAAGTACGGATGTGGGAGTCGTTTTCAGGTTTATAGATTTTCGGTTTTGGCACGGAATTCGGACGGCCAAAACCGAGTCAACAGGGTTTCCAGAATACTCGAATGGTTTCTTGGTGTTGGAACGGATATTCTTTGAACCAATATCCGTGACAAGCTTTGAATCTAACGACTGTTCAGTTTTTGCTGTTGTCACGACCCTTTGCGCCGCCAACTTTCGTGCCAACGTCTCGAAATTTAAATTGGTAGCCGTCAATGGTATATTTGAGGACTTCTTGAAATCTAGCGCCTAGCGCATCTACCTCATAATAAGATTAACTTGGTTCCTCATTCAAATTATTGTGTGAAGTGAAATCATTATCAGGTTAGGTATTGTGAAATGCTGAAGCGCCGACGAAATCTTAAAGCATTTTCTGCTCCCATGGCATTTCTTCATAATTTCCCCAACCAGCCATCTCGTTAGGAACATAATTAGATGTGCCTAAGGTCTGTGGCAAAAGACATATCAGTCGGTTCTCCTTGAGAAGTCCAATTTTAATAGTTATCAATAAAACCGTGTGTATATAAATCCCACTCCACGGTATCAGGATCAAGAAACTTGACATTTTTACACTTTGTACACGAACATCTTATTTTATTTTCATCCATGTATCGTGTTTGCCTTTGTGCAAAACTAATAAATTCAGCAACTCCATCCGTAAACTCTTTATTCATTGGTCCTGAATATGTAAAATAAATTAATAAATATTTATTTATTCTTATTAAAAGTACATGCTAGTAACTAAATTTTTAAAACTTGTCACACAAATTTTATTGGTATAAGACAAATAATGACAATAATTATAATTCAAGACATGAAATATGTATTGATCTATTGAAATTGATTAATAAAACGAATAAAATTACATACCTTATAACCGGGACATAATTCTTCTAAGAAATCCAAATATAAATATTCCACGTAGCTAACACATAATGAGACCACATTCCTTTGTTTCCAAAACTCAGCACTAAGAATAGCTAATGTGTAGATGTATACATAAAAGAAGATGTATTTTTTACTTAGGAGTGTGCAATGATTTATAGTGTTATTTGGCTCGGATTTTGACACGGAAAATATAATTGGATACAAAACGGTCATATTTTGGCACAGATTTTGGCACGGAGTAATCCGTTCGCTCGAACCGTTTGAAAATCATCTCCAGAATACACAACGGTCACCTTTTGGCTCGGAATTTGACACGGATTTATCGTAACGGTCATCTTTTAGCACAGACAACCCCTTTGAGCCAAAAGCCTAAAAACAAAATTGTACTCCCTCCGTCCTTTAAAACTTTGTCATCTTTCCTTTTTGGGACGTCCCAAAATACTTTGTCACTTTCCCTTTTAATCAATTATTTTTTGGTTTCTGTTATTTCTCTCTCCTCTGCACAAATCTCAACCACACAATTTTTACTTTATTATTCTCCGTGCCGGTCAACTTTGGCAAAGTTTTAATGGACGGAGGTAGTATTAAAAAGTTTGGCACGGATGTTGGCTCAATATTATTGTCTCGGATATTGGCACTGATCCTCATCAATGCAACATGTTCATGTTGGCACAGAAAAGGCCGTCCCCAGTTGGCACAGAATTAGGTT